GTCCATGACACTTAACCAATGCCTACCCGATTATCTACTCAATTCCTTCTCCACTCATAGAGAACTATTTGTTGTACTTGAGAGTTGAGACTCTGCAAACAAGAATTTGGAACCGAGATACTTTGTTCCCCTTCATTGCGGTTGACCAAGGGTCCACAAGAGACTACGATGAAAACTCTGAAACCAATCCCGAAGTGAAGATTGATTTTGTCGCAGTTCTTTTTCATGTTTGCCTTCGGGTTCTCTTTGAGTACAAAGGGAAATATCACCGACTTCTCCGCTCAACTTCCATCACACAGCCTGGTGGCCACAACACTACTCCTCCGCATGAAATTCAATAGGAATCTTTCAAATCATGGTTAACATATATTGCTTTTATTTTAGTAAATTTTCACATTTTTCTCAGTCCCGTTTGGATATCTGAATCCTCAACACTATCGCGGACTCAATCTCGAAAGTTGAGGACAACACAGATTGAGGGCTTGCCGACCACATCAAGCTTGAAATCTTCTCCAAAATTGAAACTCTCGTCATTAATTTATTCGCCTTTGACAATCATCATATCTATCCAGCCTTTGTTTCCCAAAAAAATTCCAACAAAGCATCTCAGATTGATGCCTTCTCATTAGCCCGAAACTTGTTAACATCTCATCCTTACCGTTAGGTTTTCCCCCCCACGACATTACTACATCAAGTTTTGTCTAGGACACTCGCTAGTCCGTCATACTACCTTCTTCACAACGCACCTCCTGGCATTAACGCATACTTTCACTTAACATTATCCACCACTCACCATCCTGGAATTAAGATTCTCCTGCGTCCCCAGCCTCAGGGTCAACCTCAACGTCCCCAATCCTGCAATCCTCGGCCTCACAACAATCTTTTTTTCATTCTATATTATCCTCTTTATTTTTTATCTTCCACCCTCGTCGAATCCCATAATCATATCTCATAAACGTTCCTATACTACTCTACATTCTCTGTCTCATCATCTTCCTTAAACTCCATCCTTCCTCTATTCTTGTTTGAACCCCCCCTATTCGAAAACTATGACCACTCTTTTCTTCATAAACATCTGCTTCCGCAAACCACTTTTTTATATACTTATTAAAATCATCACCGCTCATTGGACCCCCGCCTCGCATTGGTCGGAATAAGTACCATTTTCTTATATCCTGTCCTAACCGATCACAACTCTCCATTAACTTTGGAAGCCAACCCAAGAAGGTCTCCTCCTCGCCACGCGGATCTAATAATTTAATGACAAACCTTCTTTCTTATCGATCGGTTTTTGTATATCCGGTTCCCACAACCCCTTGCTTACTATCTATGTCTTTATACTGCAGTATCAAACCTTCACCACATCGCTGTCAACTCTCCCACAAATACAAAAATGCTCCGCCATCGCGATAAGCCTGCGTTTCTTGATATTCTTTCAACACCTTCACTTTTCCCTGTATATGCTCGAACACTTTCATCAGTTTCTCTCATCTCAAAAAGCACATTGACTCCTTTACAGCCCATCTCTGCAACAAGTACGCCCGATAAGCCTTTCCTAATGCTCATACTCTGCTACTTTGACAAGGGTCACCATCACCATCTCCTCCAAGCAATCGGAAACATGCAGTTAACAGCCACATCTACGGTTGATGGAGACACCAATGGGAGTCCTTCGACATCGGAAATTCGGCACCAACCCTCCACTTCGACAAGCCACTGACTACTGATAAGCCACAACGCGTCCAAGTCAATACAGGACATGCAGTCTCTTCCAACATCATTTCATTCCAACCACTCATTCAAAGCACGAAGGAACTTCTTCATTCCACCTCTCCATCGCCGACCAACTCCATACTCCCCAATCAACGTGTGTTGCTCCATTCAAGACTAACTTCATATCCACCTTCAACTTCGGGGGTCAAACGCTTCTGCCCCAAATCCCACCTCTTCAAGTCATCCGCTCGTTCCACCATTCCCTGCAAGACGACGATGTCACTTGCGTGACGATAGAGGGAGTTGGGCAGCTCCAAGAGGCGTGCAGGCCTGCAGCCCACCTTCTTGACGTACTTTTGTGCGATCAGGAATCATCTACGACCTATCAATTTCGTATTTTATCTGGAAGAGACCTGTGTACCACTATGCCTACAACTACACTTATTGTTGCATACTAAGTGGACAACACTGCCTCAACACAACGACTATCCTCGATCAGCGTCAACCAACCGAACAGAATACAGTTTGGAACTGCTTTTGGGACCTTGGCATTTGGGACTCCACATCACAATCATTCACCTACTTCATCTAAGGCCTATGTGCATCTCAATTTCTTACGATGCTGTCAATCTACATACAACAGGCATCCAACAGCATCAACGGTTTCAGTGACACGATGTGACACTCACTCAGGCTGAAGCACGACCTCGCTGGACTGGCTGGCCCCACTGCCCTGGCATGCGACAGTAGATGTCATAGGCACCTGGCCGATCACGATAGCTTGTAAGCCTTCCACAGTTGCGCCCTCCACTGCCTCCAGAGCCCGGCCGCTCGCAAGATTCGTTGCAAATGCAAACCTGAGTGCACGCCACATACGGGTCAGGTCCTACAAAGGTCAAGTCGTCGTCGCCTTGTTTCGGCAAAGCGGTTCCACCCGCCCTCAATATTCCCATGTTGTGCGGGCCTGCGGCACACCTTCTTGACTTACTTCTGAGTGATCATCTACGACCTGATTTACGACCTATCAATTCCGTATTCTATCTGGAAGAGATATTCCTTCTTCAAACTGCATTAATACACCTGCACTGCCGCTCACTGGTCTCGATCCACGAATCTCCCTAGTGATAGTCCGCCACCGTAACCAATAGCGCTAGGCCCAAGGTTGGTTTTAGCACTAGCGGTAAGCCATATAAAGGGGTACCACTATGCCTGCAGGTTAGCGGAAAGCTTCCTGGTCACTCTCTCGGTCCTCCGGCTAAACCCCACCGCCGTCGCGCTCTGCGCCTACCGCGCCAACTCTCTTTCTTCAAAAGGAAAAAACAGAAACAGGCCACGCCCCCCTGGATGAAGACATACTCACAACAGGACGCGCGAACTCTCTTTCTTCAAAAGGAAAAAACAGAAACAGGCCACGCCCCCCTGGATGAAGACATACAACAGGACTTTCCGAGTACATTGGTCATGGATGCACCTGGCTGTAGTTCCGTCCATAGAGAAGAGAAAAGGTTCCTAGTGTGAGTATGCTCTGAGTTGGTTGTTTTGCACATGGACTTTGTTTTGCACAATGGACTTTGTTTTGCACAATGGACTTTGTTCGAGCTGTTATTGAAGGAAACCACCGGCTCGGGCTATTCAGAGGAGTTGAGGGGGGACCTAATTGCCAGACCCAGGCCCCACTGGTGGTAGGCACGAACCTGGACGTCGTCGCCGCTAGATTCACGCTTTCTGAGCACGAAGCTACCATCTTCCCCCTATAATGACTGTGTATAAGCCGGCCCGTTACATTCATAATGATGGTGCGTTGTGTTCGACGGGTGCTGAGGATGGTAGCAACGGCGGGACGTGCCTTAGGTAGGGCGGAAATGCCAACGCGCCCACGAAATTGGCCGGTCATTATCACTGTATATGGATTGGAAATTGGCCTAAATACAGCCATACAAAAGAAGTTTATTAGTAGCCCTGAGTTCGAATCCGACTGACATAGTTGTTCTTGGGCACGGCGTCTGTCACTTGAGATGGGCCGCGAGGTCCCGATTTCCTCTTTGGCCGTTGATCTCCGTAATCCACGGTTGTAAGGAAGAACTACAGTTTTTTCTTTTTTCTAATTTTTATTTTTTTCTTTCTAATTTTTGCAAAGGCTAATTCTTTTCAGCCTAGAACTTCCGTCTTCCCCCGAACACAACGCACCCTCGTTCTGACTGTATCTGGCCGGAAACATGGCTTGTATACTTTCCTTTTCAGGGTGCGTTATGTTCGGGGGAAGACGGTAGGCCGGTCATTTAAAAACAAAAAAAAGCAAAAAAAAAAAACGCCCGGCCATTATAGCTGGCTGCATTTGGGGCAACTTTCAGTCCAGATTCTAGATACAGCTACAATGACCGGGCGTTGTATTCGGGGGACGACGGGTGAGTGAGGCCTACCAGGTAGCCTACGTGCGGCGAGTGTGCCCTTAGAGAGAATTTCTGGAGAATAAGTAAGAAAAGTCGAGAGAAGAAAGAGAGAGGCGTGTCAGAGAGCGGAGTACGCCTCTCGATGGGGGCCAGCAAGAGAGAGAGAGGTGCGAGAGAGAGAGAGGTGCACGGGAGAGAGGTGCTTGACTAAGAAGTGGGTGAGAGAGGTTTGACTGAAAAGGCTGTGCGACAGCCGACAGGATTATTGAGAGGGAGGAGATCGACAGGGGGAGTGACAGAGGTCAGTGTGTGCTAGAGAACGCATCAAGGGCCAAGTGGTGGTCCCCACTTGCCGAGGCTCCAGGATGATCATCGTGGATGTGGACCCGAGACTTCAATAATTGACGGTCACAAAGTCAGGATCGGGGTAGGTGAGTGGGATCGTCTCCTAGGGTCAAGAACAGGAGAGGAGAGGAGAGGAGATTAGCATCTGCTTGCGTTTTTTTTTTTTGCCGCAGTATTTGAACAGGTGGGTGCCAGCGATCTCCAGACATCTGCTTGCGTTTTTTTTTGCAATCTCCCGTCTTCTGTACCCTCTCGAATTGGAAGTCGAAGTCAAAGTCAAAGGCGATCCCGGTTTTTTTTTTTTTTTTTTTTTTTTTTTTTTGGGTTGTAATTGAGTGCACGATCGAGCATCTTGTGTCAGCGACCGGGCGTCATGGAACGTTGACACGTGTCACGAGCAGAGAGCGTTTCCTCTCCTCTCAGCTTTGGATGCTCATGTGACAACGATCTCCTAATTAACACCGATCTATCACTCGATCAATGCTCAATGATTGGTGGTCAACGATAGTCCATCGTCGGGATCGAGGCCAGTGAAAGCCGCGAAGGGAATAGGCCGAGGAGGAGGAGGAGAAGGAGAAAGTAGGGGAGGAGGAGGAGGAATTATTGGAGGAGGGGGAAGTAGGAGGGGAGGAGGAGGTGGAGGAGGAGGATAGGAGGAAGTAGGGAAGGAGGAGGAGGAGGAGGAGGAGGAGGAAGGGGAGGAGGAGGAGGCGTTTGCGGTTGTTGTAGCTATGGCAGTGATGGCATCGCCGTGGATATGCAGCAGCCGTGTCAGGTCTCATGGTTCCGACCTGGTTCTTCGCTCGTCAAAGGGGGATCTTCCTCGATTGATTGCTAATCAAGATGGATTTCCATTGATTCTGACGAAGGAGAGAGATCGAGTTATGGCGAGTCGTTATGAGAAAGGGAAGGATGAGGACGGATCTGCAATCTGTGCAATTGAGCGACGGAAGTGTTGGGGGGGAGGAGGAGGAGCAGCAGTAGCAGGAGCAGATGGAGGAGGAAGAGGATGGGGAGGTGGAGTCGTTGGTGCTGGGGTATATCTGCTGCAACGGCAGTCACGTGAGCGATCGGTATCCCGACTCAAGTCGAGTTGCGGCAATCGGGACGGACTCACGATACTCTCATCCTTGAGTCGGAGGGAAAGACTTAGTTCGCTGAGAGAAGCGGGAGGAGGAGGAACAGATGCTAGCGAAGGAGGAGGAAGAGGAGGAGGAGGAGGAGCAGGTGGTGGTTTCAGTGATGGCGGACTGTTGGCTGATGTAATGGAGTTTGGAGGAGGATGGAGAGGAGGAGGAGGAGAGGGAGAGCGAGCAAGGGTGGTGATGCGGGGCAGGGCGGAGTCCGGATCGCCGGGATGTCCCACCGAGCAGAGGGAAAATGGTAGCAACCTGACGCCGACGACAGTGACGAGAGAGAGGGAGAGGGAGAGGGAGAGGGAGGCGGAGCCGACGTTCTCCTGCGCTGGAAGAAAGGGTGTGGAGAAGGACGAAGGTGCAGGCGAAGGAGAGCAGCAGCACCAATCAGCTGCCTCGGCCACGTGGATCTCCGATCAATCAGATGTGACAGGCTTGAGAGGGAAGGAGAAGCCCATGGCCGCCGTCGTCGCCGACATCGGCGTGCGTTGCGATCCCGATGACCGGACGAGATACACCCTTTCCTCGTCCTCCTCCTTCTCCTCCTCTTCTTCCTCCTCTTCCTCCGCTTCCTCCTCCTCCTCCTCTTCTTCCTCCTCTTCCTCCTCTTCCTCGTCTTCAGCATTGTGTTCTAAAAATAGCATCAGCTCCATCGACTCCAGTCAGCAAGGGAAGCAGCAACCAGGAGGAGTAAGAAGCGGGTTGGGAGAGGGAGGGTGGACTCTGCTCCCCTCAGCCGTTGCCAGCAACACCCACGCCTCCTCCTCCTCCTCCTCCTCCTCTTCCTCCAATGGCATGTCGAAATCGAAATCGAATTCGAAGTTATTGGACAATGAATCCTCTTCTCCTCCTTCC